TGTCAACAAGTGGCGATCTTTCTGTTAGATCATATGACTGAGAGGTCATGGAAACAATGGCCTTCGTAGAACTCTGGTCACTTTTAAATGCACTGTAATCATACAGGAACTTCAGACACCTGTCCAAAGCAGTATTTTCCGAAAGACTGCCCTTCAGTTTTTGATGGAAACTTTCAATATAATTTGTAGTTTTATTGCCAAAATTGGGCAGTGTTTGGCGGATGTAAAAGGCCCATCTGGTTCGACATTGATCCCAATGGTCTGAAGTACACAAACTTTGCATCTTCAACTTCAGTTTATCATACGTTTCCTGTGAATTCGAATAAGTGATTTCCTGCAGAGTTTTCCTAATTTTGATCTTGTGCTCTTCGTCTATCTCCTCTTGATTAAGGCGCCTTTTCATAGCACAGTGGATGTGCCAGATGCAGAGCTGGATTGCAACGCCAGGCATGGTCTCTTCAATGGCACCAATCTCACTAAAGTCCTTGTCGATGAGGATTACTTCAGTTCCTGTACTGCTAAGGGCATTGTTTACGACAAACATGTCCAGAAACTGAGTCATCATGTCCTTCTTCTCTGAGCAGATCAGTCCATGAGCCACGACTTGACCACAACCATTGCCATCGACCACCATTAGAGATGTCAAATGCATATTTTTGTTGTTAACTTTGTAAGTTGTGTCAAGTATAAGTTCCTCCGGATACTTTGAGTAGTTTGCCTTCATAGAAGATGACTGCAGGTAAATTAAGTCTATGATGTTATTTTTGTTGACAGTTAATGTTACAATCGCTTCTGCATCCTCTTCCAGTATTGTATTGATGACATTCAGTAGCCTTGTATCATCTTTGTCTCCTCTGTTTTTGACGTTTTGAATGTCCTTGGCTTGTAAATGTTTTCCGGAAAGAGATGCCAAGTATGTACCTACTTTCGAAGCACGGATGTTGATATCTAACATCTTACTGGCCATTCTCTTTTCTTCTTCAGTCAATCTTCTCTGCTGTGGACGAAATAAACAATGGATAATATATAAACAACCTTTAAGCAAGAAGGTGCTACACATGTCATTTCTGTCATTTTACTACAGATTCAAAGCTGAAGTATACATGGTGTCTAAGAAATTCTTCATCACGTGTTTCACATTACCAGATTTTGAAGTAGGGAACCAGCCATGAAGCTTTACCATGTTAACAATAGCGTACCTCTGGATAGGACTTGAATATAGCCTCTGATGCCTCATGATTATGTTCTTCCACTAGGTTTTTTACCACCAGAACATCCAAGTCACGATTCCCTATGACAGATAATTTAAAGGGAGCAGTCCATCTTGTAATGCTGTACATTATTTCTTAACATGCAATAAATACATGGAATTATGACAAAAATCATTCTTTTTAAAGGGATTTAGTATCAACACATTTAGTATTATAACGGGAGCGTGGTGGGCGAGCTGGCTAAGGCTCGCGATCCAGCAAGCTTGAGGTGTCGGGATCGAGCCCACCTATGCAGACTCTTTCTGAGTTGTAACAACCCCTAGTGTACAGTACACGGTTACAGACCGGGAGAGCCACATTTCCGAAACAGATAGTCTAAATTGATGTGGCTTTCCCGGCAATAGTTATGGTTGCGTGAACATGGAATGTGGCTCTCCCGCCTATGCTGTCAAAATATGATTAGTGAATATGGTATTTAACAAAACAAGGCATGTTTCCTCATAACTTTATTCAGATCACAACAGGTTTTGTTTCTATAATTAGCACAATATAATATACTAATAGGTACATTACATATAATAATAATATCACAAAATAATAATAAATCTTAATCTGTAAAACATAATAATAATGATAATGGTTTAGTTTGCTTCCATGTGTACAAACAGATAAAATGGCGTAAGATCACGAAACATTCTTTTTTACACCTCCTACTGCAGGTGAAGGAGGTCGCCCACATGATCCGTATGCTCCATGTCACTCAGGTGTTGGCTCAGAAGGTTGGTCTTCAGTGATGCAATGCAAGCGTCAATGGTTCTGTATTTCTTTCTCCGTGAAGGTGCTGTCCACTGGTCAGATAGTCTCAGGACAGCAACCTCTGTGAGAGACTGCTCACGCTGAAATAACTTTACTATCTCGTAAATGTTAGGGTGGCACTTCTGGACAAGTCTGTTTACCTTATTGTGCCATCCTTTTAGGTTCTTGTCAGATTAATCTTAATCTAGGAACAGTATTTTACCGGTATTGCGATGTCATTGAACGTGTTCATTTTAAATTCCTTAAATTAGCTACCGGTCTTAGATAAAACACCCCGAACTTTATGGTTTATGGAGAACTTGGAAGACAACTTATTCAGCTCCAAATCTCTAAACGATTAATTACTTATTGGTGCAAATTGAAATTTTCTCATCCAAACAACAATATAGCAGCTTTCATTCTAGAATATAGTATGGATGATGCTCCCTGGCTAAATCATGTGAAACATATATTTTGTAAATGCGGCTGTATTTGTAAACCCCTTTCATTACACTCAATCCTAGTGGATCATATCAAACTCTTATTCAATCCTGAAAGACCAGTTTTTACAATCATGGACCAGTGAAATGAATAATTCATCTTAAAGGATAATATTATAAGATTTTTAAAAAACTCACCTTCACTCGACATATACCATTTTGAGTAATAAACAATGAGTGAAGAAGCTAAACGCCACGCTTGTGAGTAGGAAAGATTATTAGTTTCTTGTGAAATAAAAATTATACATGGAGACACTCTTTTACCGATTACGCTAATCCATTAATTAATTAATCTATTGGAAATGTGGCTTTACCGGCTACAGCCATGTAATTGAAATGTGGCCTTCACGGCAATAGTCATTTATTAAATGTGGCTTTCCCGGCCTGTCACCCAGTACACAACCCTGTGCACCTACAAGAACCCACGAATGCGTTGGTATATGACCAGATGGTGGGCACATGAATACGTGAAAACACCTAGTTGCAGGTACAGCAACGTGCAGTAAATTGAACAAAAGTACTGTGACTCTGTGTCCCAGTCCATTCAGCTGGGAATGGGTACCTCGTAAAGATGAGAAAGCCGCAATAACTCGGTGCACCTATAGTGGCTGCAAGAGTTGTAAGTTCCCCGATAATACGATGTACCGTTGAGATTGCAGTGGATACACTTGTTTTGTACCAGATACCTACTGCAGTGGATACACTTGTTTTGTACCAGATACCTGTGCAAAAAAGATTATTCCCATATTTGAATGCGAAAGCAATAAAACACAACACAGGTAAAGAAAAAGTCATCATTCCTCTAGCCCCCGTCCCCATAACCCCCTGTTGTTACAAGCCACTAGACCCGTGAAGATCCGGGGTAGAAAAGGTCTTCAGTAACCTATATGCTTGCCACAAAAGGCGACTATGCTTGTCGTAAGAGGCGACTAACGGGATCGCGTGGTCAGGCTCGCTGACTTGGTTGACACATGTCATCGGTACCCAATTGCGTAGATCGATGCTCATATTGTTGATCACTGGATTGTCTGGTCCAGACTCGATTATTTACAGACCGCTTGTAGCTGGAATATTGCTGAGTGCGACCTTAAACTCAACTCACTCACAACAAGCCACTAATTTGTACCTCGCTTGGCTGTTCTGTTAGCTGTACTCACTCCCCCGCAACTGGATTAACTGCTACTATCAATTATCTCGTTAGGTTGGGTGTTGGTTTTGATTAGGTGACTCCCGGTACTTAGGGAGATAATGGGCACAATATTAATGTCTGGAGACCATTTCTGGTGTCCCCGCCGTGATACTGCTGGAATATTGCTGAACGCGGCATAAAACTAAACTCACTCACACACACTGAAAGGTTTATCATCCGGAGAAGATGGGATTCAAACAACAATTTAAAAATTTATTCTGTGATTGTATATGATTTATTCATGTTTTTTTTAATCAATATTGTCAAATAAATATAACTAAATCAGTTTTACTACAAAAGGACTTTTGACTTGTAACAACAGGGGCAAGAGGTGTGGAGTCAAGAACACACAACACAAGTGAAACATATTTATGTCATATATTTTTAATGCAACAAAAAATCAATGTCAGGAATGATTGTGATTATTATCCTTTGAGGAAATAAAAGTTAACAGGGCTTCGTAGACTGTGTAAATGGGCATGTCCTTCGCACCCATTTCATCACTGCTATTCCAAACACATACAGAACGAGAACAATAAATATTGAGGGTAAGTAATTAAACTTGGCATTCTGCTTACAAATATGTACGGAATGCCTGAATACATTGTGGATGAGTTCGGTCGATCCTACTATAGGACCACATGACCGAATGTCTTGACTGGGAGTAATATATAAATTAATATATGTATTTAAGCAGAGCTACAGATAACCTTTTGGAGTATGTACTCGCTTATACTCATCCCAATTGGGTTTCCTAATTTTCCTTTGAGTAACTAAAAAATCGTACTCATCTTACTCAAACTCAATTGGGTATTTTACTATTTCCATTAACTTTGAAAATACAATAAAGTTTAAATGTTAATGTTTGTTATTTATATTTGATCTGTATTATGAGAAACGATAAGAAAGACTACAAGTTGCCAAGTTCATGTTCTGAAATAGAATGTCTCAATATCATGTTATTTTATTTATTGACCTTTTCTGTGTGTATACATGTAAGATCACATTTATTGAGTATTTACAAAAAATCAAGCGTACTTATTTACGCAAGAGTCTTAATAGGAATTGAATTTTCACATAGATATTTGCTTAATTTACGCACATACGCAGCTTATCTGTACCTCTGATTAAGACATTCGAGTACCAAATAGAATGCTATATGCGAGACAGGGCCCAGTTTAATGTAACGCTTGTTCTCCGGCGGTACAAGGGTTTGTAACCGGTTTACAAGCAATCTACCAATCACAGCGCGTGTTGCAAACCGGGGTTGGAAATTATCCAGTCGATATAGACGATTCGGCGGAAGTGTGAAGGCCACTATGTTCAACAGTATATACTGGTAGTTTGTCCTTAGTATACTTGGCTTTTATTTATGTGTCAGCATCAGATAAGGTGAGTTTTATTGTAACGATGTTGTGTTTCAATCATTAATTGTATCCTACATCTGCATGGAGACTCTAGATAGTGATGGTTAACCGCTAGCCGAGAGCCGCGATGCGGTCCTATACAGGACCACAGGGGCTTGTAACGCTAAAAACTGCCATCAAGGCATATACTATCACTGACGGGGTCTTAGTACTATTCTTAGTACTATTCTAAGACCCCGTCAGTGATAGTATATGCCTTGATGGCAGTTTTTAGCGTTACAAGCCCCTGTGTACAGGACCACATCGCGGCTCTCGATCGGCTATAGTTAACCGCAAACAATTTCGCCAAAATCACGTCTCTCGTCAGTCAGAGTATACATCTGTAAACAGGCTATTTATGTGGGGGGAGCAGAACAATCCGCACCCACGGCGAATTTTTCCCAAATATTATTGGACAGCCCGTACCACAAGGGGTATTCGACTGTACATGGAAACCGGATATTGCACCGTTGCAACAACCCAATGTTACCATTTTCCACTATTTTTCCATAATGGCTTCACCTGTTCATGTTCATATTACCATGGTGTAACGTGTAATAACACACTAGATGATCATGTAAATTATTGCGTATCAGTAGATTATTGTCCGACTCTCCTATAAACTATGTAACAACAAATTGATAACAAAGTAGAGAACTGGATTTACAAAGGCCAGGTGTGGAAGGCGAAGGCGGATGCAGGGCCAAGCCAAAGCCATTTAATGACCTGCTCTCCGTTGGACCCTGAACAGACGAGACAGGTAGCGGCGATGTTTCAAATGCTATTTTGACCACCTGAAGGTTGGAAGTAGCCTCTATTGGAAAATAGACAGCCTAGCAGCAGCAGCAAAGTATAAATCGAGCGAGAGATTGGTCCCGCATCCGCCCCGATCCTCGCGACCTGACGTCATTTTAATTCACTCTAATTGTACAACAAAGTTAAACCATTTAGGATGAAATCTGTGGGTAAAGAGATTAAGGTTATGTAACATAGAGATAGGGTTGATGACAGTTGTAGTATTTGGACGTTTGAGATGAGAAGCCTGATTTAAGTTACAGGAAAGTGATAGAATAAAACGGTTTGGCAAACATGGGGAGGGTGGGAGGGAAACTGAGAAAAAGATGATAAAATGAAATTGCTAACCAGTGGTTGATAAAATGACGGTTATCTTAAATGGCGGAGGAATGAAAGAAAGTGACGTAATATAAATATTATGATGACGTGTTCAATTGTGTTATGACATAATGTAAGTGGATGTGATGAAATGCACATCTTTGGGTGTTTGTAAACATGAGCACGTGTTTTGTTAAGAGGCATTTGTTGTGTTTGCTGTAAAGAAATGATATGTAATTGTCAGTAGAATGAGAATAATTGTAGGAATTAAGGAAATGCATGGAGCGTACAATAACGACATTTAGCCAAATAATGCTAAATGGAATTATTAAAACTGTAATTCCGTAATAAAATATCATCTAACCTTTCATAAATTTATTGTCAGAATGTTCTGTTGTCCGCTGGTTTCCAGTGCAGGGAACATATCGTGTCTGTCTGCCAGCACGAGTGGGAGAAGTGACGTACCATGTTTTCGGGTTACTCGTCATAGCGCGGGGTCATGACCTTGTACGGATGCCCAGGTGATGCATTCTTCTCCCAAGAAGTCAACAGCATTTAATAAAAAGTCAAGCCAGCTGGTCATATTTTTCTTGATTATTTGAGTGTTTTTTGTGAAAATTGTTAAATATAAACAAGCATACAGGTAAGTTATTCAGTCATGTGCACATTGATTCTTCTTGTCTGCATGGCACGCCATGGCAAGGACAATAAAACATGTCATGTCTGCGCAGTACAGTGACATCGAAGCAGTATTTTAAGTGAACTCAGTGCTCACAAGCCGGGTACATGCATTGACCCCATGTTGTTAATACCACTGACACACATGACTGTAATTCCACTGGCTGGAAAAGTTTACACACGCAACATTTTTCTTCGTCTAATATTTTGTCGTCGCTGATTGGCTCGTCATCGCTGATCAAAAGCCTATCCAACCCTGATGGTCCTGGTCTTCCGGAATCGTCCGCATTAGTAGCTGGTTTGCTTATCTTGACTTTTTTGTTTTGGTTGATATTTCTGCGTTGAATCAGCTGATAACTGAGGTGTAGCTGAAGATGGCTTTTTTGTCGTTTTCTTCTGTTTTGTCTCGACAATATAGATGTTTATGTCGGCGGTGACAGCTGTCTCGCTAATTGCCTTCCAAGTACTTCTTAAATATTGCCAAGTTCGACCATCCACTGTCAGATACAGTTGCATCAGCTCCCGATGTGGCATGATGAAGTAACTCCTCCCTCATACGGGCACCTTTCAATATGAAGAAAGGTGGTATCTGGTGGCCAAGGGCGTTTCCACATCCTATCAGAGTGACAACAGATGAACGCTCGGAAGAAATCTCAATAGATGAACTTGAAATCGATCCAACAACATAGGGTGGTGAATGAACTTGATTACATGCCTTTCTCATCGACATTGTAGATGTTTTCTGGGCGCGATTTCAAATCATATTTCGTCAAAACTTTCTCCAGTTCACAGAAATAATTACCGACTTTTTCTTCAGAAGTGGCATAAGCCCTGAGTTCAGTGAGAGATTTTGGCTTGGTAACTTTTAGCTCTGGCCACCGTCTGAGAAAACCATAAAACCATTGCATTGAGAATGCAGCAGAGTCCGTGCATTTCTTTCCCAAGCTTATGGCGAAGTCAGTTGCAAGTGAGTTGACTTCTGAACTTGTGTAACCATAACCCACTGAAGCCATGTAACTTATGTGCTTTGCCAAACGTGATTCCTCAATTTGACTAAGCAGTGGGGATGGCCCGGAAGTGGTGGAGTCAATGTCAACTTTCGCTGATTATATGCAGTCCCTTATGGTCTGCTCTGGTACAGCAAACATTTTTGATGCTTTATATAAACACTTATTTGATCTTCAGTTACAGCTTTAAATGCGTTGGTTAGATCGTTTTGGCTATAGCTCTGTATTGTCGTGAGACGAATTCTGCAACACGGGGAAAAAATCCGTAAGAGACGACCAATTCGGTTTTCCATAGTTTTTATATTACGTCAGCAACATTCCATTAGAGTCATGTGATGTTTATGTTTAGCTTTTGACTCTAGAAGACGATGGTCCGCTTTACAAGTTACAAGCTTTATTTCAAAAGTTATCATCACATTTATGAAGGTTCTGAAAGTGCATTACGTTCTAGGGTAGAATTTTAGTATTTTTACAGACATTCAGGTCACAACTTACCTGAAAGCTGGATATTTCAAACATTTTGTGTCCCGGTTGCCACGGAAGCTTCTGCACTCGAGACGGTGTTTACAGATGGCGCTGTCATCTCACTGTACGTGAGAAATTACGGGAAAAAGACATACCCCGAAAACATGGTACGGCATGGTGGTAATTACAGACAATATTTTGAATAGAACGGGATTAAAGTTTGTGTGTCGACAGACGAAGCTTTCTTGTACCCTTTAAAGGGCCACTGATCAGGAGCGATATATGTTTCTCGTCAACAGTCTAATTACGAAACCAAGCTGCAGGCTGGTCAGCCCCTGCTCCCTCGACCGTGACGGACACTGGCACTGGGCTACTGATAGCTACTGTCCACCTTGGCAGAATTTCTTCAACCTAAACAGTGGGACATTAGGAAGGTGGATGCCCATCATATGCCATTATTTGAAAATATCCCCAGTACTTTTTGTCTGATTGTAACATAGTATTCCAGCAGTGTAGGCCTTTTCAGATTTTCTAATGCTTGGATGGTATAATGACTGATCCAATTTGATCCCAATTCTGTGTTTTTTACCTTGATATTTAATCATGTCATGTAAAAATATGAAGTCTATTACCTATGCTATGATATTAAAAACACACATTTAATGTATTTGAATCCGTAAACAGTGGCGCAGCTACCATTGTAAAAAAAAGCCAGGGCTTACACAAAGATCGGGCAAACCCTCAATACCATCTAAATATAAAGCTTTGCAACCTATTGGGCTTACAAGAAAAGATTGGCTTGCTACGCGCCTGGAAAACTAAACAAACCCACTTTGCCATTGCTAGAAAATCTGAAAATTGACTTAGGTAAATAGGTATATATACAGTTTTTAAAGGTCACATGCAACGTAAAACACAACTTTGCAGATTCTGATACTTTTCGGTATGGACTTATCGAAACAAATCATCAAAAATGCAAATTCAACTTGAATTTAACGCGAGGAAAAAAACGCGCGAAATCGTAGTTCAAACGATTCACTAACTTTCCCCAAGCGCTTGGGGGAATTGAAGTGGTTTCAACAGCTGGGCTACGCTCATAGCACATGCGCAATGAAATAGGTTCGCGGAGCTTGGAAGCAGGTTGTCCGGTGAATATTCGGTGAAGGCTTTGGTGTGAGCTATTTTTCTAATGTTTTGTTGATATTTCACAGGTGCGAAGCTTTTATATGTTATGACAGTAAATTAACTGTTCATATAATTTCATTTGTCTATTTCACCACACATTCTTCTTACCGAGTCACTTTCTCATTTCGATACTTAAAAGCAATGTCATTATTTAGCGTCGACAGAATTTCTAACTGTGATATATAGATATGTCGTTGTCACAGACAAAACTCAATGTCTGTTTTATTGGCACCTATGTGTCTGCCTGCCCGTCTGCTAATGACAGTATTCAATACAAAACTTCGATCACTGACCACATGCAATTTGAACTTAACACGAATCAGGCTATACACCATAAACAAAATGCATTGATTTATGGTCCGAGTTCGGTCTCTGTCACATTATGTAATTACACAGACAGGCAGGTGTGATACTTGTACACATGACATGTTATGATGTCTGTTGATTGCAAAATGTTATACACAAAAAATGAGCATGTATTTACAAAACCCAACATCTATATATATACACACACAATGAGCCGTGAGAGCATCTGCAA